CTTCATAATGATTTTTTTTTAACTGTGCGTGTATTAAAAGCGAAATTTTTTGCGACGTCTTTTTTTTTTTATTGATAATATCGCTGATCGTGTGTACAGTTGCTGCGGTCTTTTTTTTGTCTTGGATAACGCCTTAAAACGCTGGAAATGACATTTTCGTTTTTTTTAATCACAAAAAGTTCCCTTGGATCCCCCTTGTACCTCCCGCTTTTTTTTATACTCCGCCTTCCCTGTTATTTATCGGAAAAGTTTAATATTTTTTTTTATTTTTAAGTTCTTCAATAACGTGTATATTTTTCAGGAAATTTTTTTTTTTCGTAGAATGTTTTACATTAACGCAGCCCGCACTGAACAAGAGAATCCAGCGACATCTGCATGGAGAAATACCTTTATTTGTCCTCTCTATCCAAGAGAAGGTCTTTTAAATAAAAAACCTGGTAGGTTTTGAATGATAACTTATAGCTCCAAAACTATCAAACTATTACAAGACTAGACTATAGCAACACAAATGTTATCCCCTTATCAAACACTGTGTTAGCAATTCGATGACTTTTGGCCTATGAATAGTTAGTTTCATCGATGATATACTAAGTTATTTATTTTTTTTTTTTGTAGATAATATATTTGAAGCGGCCTTGAGAAAAAAGTTTTTTTTTTAAATAATTGGCGAAAGCAGCACGCACGACAATGACGGACAAGATGACGATACCGAATCATCCGAAACAGATTCCAGTGATCAATTTCCTGATCGTTGTGGCTTTTGTCAAAGGCCATCGGAAGCGCTAAAGAAGTGCACGGGATGCAAGAATATTTCTTATTGTGATGAAGACTGCCAAACGAAGCACTTTTTTTTAGAACACAAGTATGCTTGCTCGAGGTCGCAAGACTCATCAGCTCAAAGGGCTGATTCAATTGATGAAGATCTTTACCGGCAAATTCTTGAAGAAATTGATGGGGAGTTTTTGTCTTCTCAAGCGCATCCTAGTTGTGCATTTTTTTTGAAGCCGTCAAAATCTCTCAAGAAATGTACAGGCTGTGAAATTTTTTTTTATTGTGACAGCAAATGTCAAGCACAACACTGGAAAACAGGGCATAAAGACGTTTGCTCAGCCAAAATCATAGAAGATTCATCACAAGCTTTTTTTTTGAAAGAGGACGACGAACATGACCAAAATGAACAAAGGGATTGCTGTGATGTTTGCGAACACCCTTTACAAGTTGTCCTGAAAAAATGCACAGGCTGCCACAAGACATTCTACTATGGTGACGATTCTCAGTCGACTACAAAGAACTGCGACATTGATAGGAAAGGAACGGTATCTCCTGAACGTACGTCGTCAAACGAAGACGATATATGTAGAAATAATAAGCCACAAGAAACCGTTCAACCATGTGCGTTCTGTAAAAAACCGTCAACAGATCTTAAGAAATGCTTTTTTTTTAAGCAGGTGTCTTACTGCACAAAAGAATGCCAAAGAAAGCTTTTTTTTAAGCATAAAATTGTTTGTCACTAAAAGGTTAAAGTATAAAAAAGGAATACGGACTCAGTTTGTAAAAATGACCACTCCAAATCCCTCTATTTGAACTAAAGTTCTTTTTTATTGAATATAGTGATTGCATATGTAGCCAAATCGATTGCACTGTCTGTCACATGGTAGAACTGCTTTAGAACTTTGTAAAGCATATCATTTGTAGCTATAGTATTTTTACTTAATTCCTTTATGAGATTTTTTTTTAGGATGTTTTCAATCCCGCAATCCCGCTAATCTATTTTTACAATCCCGCAATCCCGTCAATTTTAATGTCGCAATCCCGATCCCGCATTTTTTTTTTAATAGATTATTAACTTAATATAACATCAATAGCATCAACAGTTTTTTTTCCGTTTATCATCCTCTCGCGTTGTTTAACTGTACATGTACGTTTTTTTTTGTGCAACTACTTTTTTTCCGCTCCACTTTACATGAGAGACGTCTTTCATTTCGTGTTTGTGGTGTTCATTCTCTCAGCATTACTTGACATTTTTTTTTTTTATTTCATTTTTGCAAAAGGAACGAGTTTCCACTCGACTTTTTTTTCTCGTAGAAGAGAGCCAGACAATTAATTACATCTACTCGACTTTTTTTTGAGTTAGTTGAGGCCGTAACGGTCTGTTATTTTATTTATTATTTTTTTTTAAAGTAGTCCTGGGTTCTACTTCTGTAACACTACACGAGGTTTTTTTTGTTGCGAGACAACAATTGTTTTACTGTGAAATTCATAGAGGTTTTTTTTGATGGAGGTCTACGTTTGACGGCTAAAAAACGACGTTTTGATTTTTTTTTTTTTACTTTTTTATCTTTACGTTTAAGATGCGCCTTTTCATTTTTTTTAACTAGAGAAGAAAAAACTTGTCACTAAACTAAACAAATTGTTTTTTTTAAATCACGTATCTCGCGGCAAAGTTTTAGAGTTATCCCGATTTTTTTTTGAAAAACGCAAAATCCCGATCCCGCTTGCATATTTTAAGATTTTTTTTTCCGTCAAAATTTTCGTCCAGATCCCGAATCCCGGCATCACATTTTTTTTTATCCCGCATCCCGCAAAACCTATTGTGGACCCTCCTTTATTTTTTTTTAATTTTACTTTACTGTTTCAGTTTGTATCCTTTTTGTATCATTTTTTTTTTGTAAGGATTAAGGATATCATTATTGTACGTTACAAGTTGTTTTTTTTTTTATTTGCCATTTGCTTTTACATCGCCCCTCACCTTATTCTTTACTTGCTTGGTAACTCCGGTAATGTCCCCCCAGGAGAGAATTTTTATTTTTTTTACAATCTCCTAGTTACGACCATTTTCGTGAGTAGACTATTCTTTTTTTTCACTAGAAAATATATGAATAACTTGTATCACTGCCGTGTTGAGCTGCATCCACAACCTGGGCCTTGGGGTAATTCTTTTGAGAACGATTAAGGTCCTAGAAAGACTTGTTTTACAGTCAGTTTCCACTCTGTATTGCAATTTTTTTTATGCGGCTCGAAATGTGCATCTCTACATTATAAAATGCCAGTCTCATCGACGTCTCTTTTTATTCAAATTTTGTGTTTTTCTTCAGTTTTGCTCAAAGAAAGTGTGAATTTCTATTTATTAAAAATTTTGAAAAACAAAACAAAAACAAGGACGCGGTCAATGCATCGAATGATACTTGGTCAAACTATTTTTTTTTTCAAATTGATGCTGTTTTTGAAATTAAAAAAAAAACATATTTTTTTTTCTTCAATTGAATACACCCTTCCCAAGGCCCTTGTTGTGGCTTAACGATACTCTAAGACACTGTCAGACATTTTAACACTTGGACTATGACTAACGTTTTAGAAAGTTACACTGGAACCTTTCTTTTTAATCAACTCAAAATTTATGGTATATCCTGGGCTTTGATTCCGTCATTTTAAGCAGATAAATTTTTTTTTAAGCTTGAACAAAAGAGGCACGAATCAATATATCTATTTTCAGTTAAAGTTGAATAATTGCTAGTATTGAACTTTGAAAAACAAAGGTTTTTTTTTTTCGCCCACTTAGTTTAATTCGTTGACATTCATCTCCCACGACGTGGCAAACATGATACAAAAATGCATCCACATGGTCTGTGGATGACAAATGACTGGAGGCCTATCAAAACTAGGTAGCCTCTCCTTCATTCTATGCAAGTTTGGTACATAATAACTTAGGCATACAAGACTTGGCAAAGTACAGTCTTTTTTTTTTCTCTCGTACATCAAGACTACGTAAGGTTAGTGTGATCCATGTAGATAGAATCCTTGGCAGTCTCTTAACTGTCGTAGTTTGAGAAAACCGGGCAGGGTCAACAGATGGGAAATTGGTGTCGTAAAATAATATATTGCCTCTAAATTCCACAAGACAACCCAGGTTTGTTTCTTTTACGTATAAAAAGAGACTTTTCTTGATCCTTCGATTAGTTGAACCAAAAAGTGATATGTCAGTAAAAACCTGTTTTTTGTTATCCATACAATATATTAGTTTATAAAAGAGTTTTTTTTGATCAGTCGTATTGAATACATGATACCATACTATACTCAGTTTTTTTTTATTCTGAACATGGAACTTATTTCTTATTTTCTATTAATTTGTTTTTTTTCCGATCTTTATATAATTTGAATGTTGCATTTTAAGTTTAGCTTTTTTTTACAGAAAATGAAGGTGAATTACGTCATCGTTATCGTGTCGGTTTTGGTCGCAGTGGTGGTTGCCAATCCCAAGCCAAACATCGTCAATCCTCCATGTATTGGTTGCTATTACCAAGTTGGCAACGAGTGTAAGCTTGATAAGTTCTGTGCAGGGGGTGTAAAGAGAGATCCCAAGCCAAACATCGTCAATCCTCCATGTATTGGTTGCTATTACCAAGTTGGCAACGAGTGTAAGCTTGATAAGTTCTGTGCAGGGGGTGTAAAGAGAGATCCCAAGCCCAACATCGTCAATCCTCCATGTATTGGTTGCTATTACCAAGTTGGCAACGAGTGTAAGCTTAATAAATTCTGTGAAGGGGGTGCCAAGTGAAAACACACGGTTCTCCTCCAATGACACGGGTCTATCTCACAAACATGGATAAATCTAATATAATAAATTTAATAATGCAAGATTGTAACTTAAATTGAATTAAAGTAAATGTTAACACCATCCAATCATTTCAGGTTATTGTGTATAAATGCCTTGATATCGATTCGTTGTTCTTTGCTTCATCTTCCGAGTGATCAACCTGAACAAACTCTGAATCAGTGACGTCACATATCTTGACCAATAAGAAACTTATCTTGAGTGACGTCAGATGTATTATTTAAGTCGATTATGTATGAGAACACCGCCTTTGAATTTCTATCTGTCTATTGACTAAAATCAGCAAAGTTCTGTTCTGGAAAGATCAAAGGTAAGAGTAGAGATTATATCCTTTATTCTGCAAAAGCGGCAATGGCCAGTTTTAGCATGCTAAGTCTAACGGATTAAGGCATTGATTTGTGTAAAATGATTTTTTTTTTCAAATTCATGTGCACAGACATGAAAGTATTACCGTGACGATAAGTGACATGTTCCTTAGTTTCCTTCTTAGTGAGAATTGAGTGATTTTAGAAAGTTGTTATTTAGACCAGAACTGAAAAAAGAACCGGGATAAAAAGCAATTTGGTTCCCAATCAGCTAAACGATTCTCGCACTAAACTGATGAAATTAATGGCTCTTGTTTCAAACCATCAATATGTTAACGACGAAAATCTCCAGTATGTACAAATTCAGTACATACAAAGTTTTTTAGTGTAGTGTTACACCATTTGTACTCTGTTTCCTTGGTATCTGTCGGAGACTGGTGTTAACAGAGCAGTGAAGATCAGCTCTAACTCCCTGGACTTTCCTCATTGCTTTTCAGACATTTTTACCACCGACTCCCCTTCGCATAATTGCTTCATCTTAACTTTGTTTCAGTTTAATTTTCTGCCTGTGCTCTTCCCGCAATGGGGGATTATTATAAGGGGTTGTGATACCGCAAAACCGCAAAATTTTTCCCGTTTTTCCGTCGTCAAATGAACCTCCCTTAAAAAATCGATCAACTATAACTGTCAAACTTTTCGATATTCTTAGAAAATGCGACATTTCATACCCTGAAATCCGCACATAAAAGTGCGTTGAAATTGGCGTGATTTTCCTCAATCGAGTCTCACAATCGTAAACCGCGCCTCATTCTCTACCACCTCTGGAAAACTCCCGATTTATTTGGTATACGTTTGTCAATAATTAGCATATCTTAATCTATTTCATATCAAAATGGAATTCATCAAACATATTTTAATTGTATCGTATTTTTTTAATGGATTTTTAAAATATGGTAAGCAATAAAGCTCACTAATCGAAGCCCTCCCCCTTTTCAAAATATCTGGATTAATCGCCCCTAAACTATAAACCACCTCTAAAATCAGGAAAAAAATAACATCAAACCTCCAACCTATAAGAGGTGCCCAACAATGATCGGATGTGGTTGATTTATTTTTATCCAGCTCGCTCGTTTTCCTTTATTGTGTTGACGAGACGCAAAATCTGAGTGTAATACCGTTCGTTTTGTAAGTTCGTTTCTTTCTATGTATCACTTGACAACTATTATAGGACCAACTGTAGATAAACTGACATTCTCTTTTGAAAAAAGTGTTTGTTGTTTTTGTTTCATTAGCAAGTTGTTCACTGTCTCGTATAAAATATATTCACAAAAAAAAAAATGATCGTGACTACTTCCACATTGTCTTCACGACAACGTTTTGGTTGATTAGTTCTCGGATGATTTGCATATTGACCAGAATTACTTGCTGATATGGGGTTACTTTCATGTCATTGACCGCTTGCAACCAGTATTTACATTTCTCGAAAGTCGTGCTTATTTCGCAAAAGTTGTCTAGTTTTGTGTACTTTACAGCATCTTGCGGAAAAGGAATTCAAAGTCAAAGCTATCGCTGAATTCCAACTAAAATATTGATTACAATGTATATTAGTTTTGCAACGCGATACAAGAACTAACACATTGTGACAGTTGTGAAAACGGTGATCTGTGCAAATGACTTTGATTGTAGACTGGGTGTCTTCATCTCGTAAAAGCTGTATAGAATATTACTATAATATGATATAATGACTGTATAGAACGCCTTCTGGCATATATATGCAAAGAATGGAAACAACATATTTAGATTCACGAAAGTGAACCTTTTATGAAGGACTAAGGTATGACTAACTTTTATTCTCGTACTGGATGTCTTTATGATTTTCTATCTTTCGACAGAAAATGAAGCCGTATTTCAGTGCGATTATTGCAATTGCTGTCGTAACCGTATCATTGGCTAGTTCCATCAAGAAACCAAGAGATGCATTGCCTCACCCGAAGCCTGACATCAGATGTACGGGATGCTATGTAGAAAAACCTGATGGATCTTGCGTCTACGATAGTTCCATTTGCCCCGATAAAAGAGATGCATTGCCTCACCCGAAGCCTGGCATCAGATGTACGGGATGCTATGTAGAAAATCGTGATGGATCTGGTTG